ACTTTTTTAAGAGAAGTAAAAAACTATTTCTAAAATCTTTTTTTTGCATTAACTGCTGTAGAAGAATGAGATAGAAACTGCTAAGATATGCACTACTGTATATTCTCTATCAAGACTTTCTCTCTTCAGAGTCTTGATATTATAGAGAATATAAGTCTGTTTCTATATAATAATATAAATATTGTCAGCAGGATGTAGAGGAACTGGTTATTTATATCTCAAAATAGAAGACTTTGTCAATGATTATATCAATATAGAGTTAATTCTCAAATTCAATAGAAATCTAGTATTGCTGTTCTCAATCCCTTGCAGAATCTATTGAATATTGAGATATTAAAACTAGATTTAATATATCTCACTGTGCAGGGATCAAAGGCTCAGTCAGACCTTGGGATATACTGATTTTATAGTTGTCATATCTGCCAATTATGTATTGAGTACAGTTGCTGAGGTATCTTTTTGTACTTTTCTGTCGGGGATGGGCCAGATTGAGAGGGGTGGTACAAGGGCGAGACTTGGCGTTGATGTCCAGATACACTGAAGACAGATCGCGGAGGTTGCACTTTAGAAGTGGCTGTTGATTATGTGCTTGATATTATCACTGAGGTATCTTTTTGTATTTTTCTGCCGGGGATGGGCTAGATTAGGAAGGGTAGTACAACAGTGGGACTTGGCATTGGTGTTTTGGAACATCAAAGATGGACAGGGTTTTCGCGGAGGTCGCTCCTCAGATATCTCCACAACTACAGATCGGGGATCTTCCAAAATCGAGAAGATTGGTGCATATGACTAGGTCTCTTCACCTTACAATTTGTATGGCACTTTGGCCCGGGGTTGTGGTGTGGTAGGAGAGAACGGGGGATACTCCCACACAGGAGTTTCGAACAACGTCCGGTTCACGTTTGGCTGGATAACTCCACCACCACACAGGGTATGCGGTCGGCGATGGGGTCAGAATGCTCGTCTGATCGAGGGCTTTTCGATGGATCTATCGGCGGGTTCTTATTCGAAAAATCGAGCGAGTTCGTGGTGGAGCGGTTGGATTATTCGGAATAATCTTGATAAATCTGCAAGAGTATACTATAGAGTGTGATGATATCTATGAACAGGCTGAGAGAATTCAGAATATTCAGAAGAAGACTTATGAATTCTTGAGAAAGATCTAAGAGTATTAAAAGAGATACTATAACTCTAAGTATATTATAAAGAGTTTTAAGAAAGATAATAGAGTCTGACTGAGTCTAGAAAACATCATTATATAGAGATCTAGTAAGAAGCTGAATCTCTTATAAACAGAGTCTTATAAGATTATAAAGAAAGTTAGCTTATAGTTCTATAGATTAAAACTGTTATCTGAGTTATAGATATATAATATTTTTCATATCTTTTTACTCTATAAATATAAGAAATTCTCAGAAGAGAACTCTGTGACTCATCACTCTATTTATAAAGTACTAGAGAGTGAAAAAGAATATCAGATCAAAGAGATTATTAACTCAGAGAAGTGAGATTATAAGCTCTGATTTAAGATTCAGTGACAAGAATATTCTGATAAAATAAATAAGTTCACTTAAGAATCATCTGAGCAGATAAGATATCTGAAGAAGCTGAGACATGACTTTCATACTGTGAATTCTGATAAGTCAGAATGATACAGTGTTTGCTAAAAACCTGATTATAATAAAGATATTAACACTGATATTTGTAAATTCTAGTCTATAAGATAATAAGTTTCTACTGAGATGAACAGTTTACAGTGTATAAAAAGAAAAGAAGAAATCATGTTCTTATTAAAAGTTAAAAAAAATAAAGAAAATAAAAACAGAACTGTGAACATAATTTAGAGATTAATAAAAAAAAAATAAAGAAAATTCATACTTATATTTTTAATATCTGTAACACTTAACTTCTCTATGACTATTAATTCTTCTCTTTAAAAAAGTAGAGAGTATTATATCTGTGATACAGACAATTATTGCATTTAATGTGAAGATTATCAGAAATGCACAGACTTCAGAGAAGCTGAATATCAGAATATACACAGTTGTAGCAGAGTCTTAACAACTGATTATCTGTGTATATAATCAGATATCTCTTATATAGCTGTATTCACTCTCTCAGTTATACTGAAGTATTGAGACTGAAAATAATTAAGATGTAAAGAGAAAGTATATCTGTTTAGATTAACTTCTGTCACAAATTTATAATATTCACATTATCTTAATTACTTAGATTTTACAGATACCTGAGAATTCATCTCTCATTGATAATAAGATTGCAGAAATATGCTGCAGTGTGAGAACTGTTAATAGAAAATCTAGACATATTTACATATATCTGATCAGAGATTGTGTAAATAGAGAAGAGATAATCATAGACTCACAGAGCTGCAGAAGACACTGACAATACTGAGAGCTCTATAAGAACTATTAACTAGAGTGTGTAAGAAATTACTTATAGAGAGACTTACAGTAAAGAGTGAAACTATACTACTTAAAGTCAGAAACTAGTCTGCAGAAGACACAGAGTTGACTGCTAATTTAAAGATCAGATATAGTAACAGAGCTGAGAGAAGTGAAGACACTGTTGTAAGTGAGAACACTCCTGCTTTATTAACTAGTAAAAAGTGATTGAAGAAGTTATAGAAATATCTGTGAGAAGCTCAGCAGTGATCAGATATTATTCTGTAAGAATAAGTACTCACAGGCGATTATTCGGGTGTTTGCAGCTTGGTATGATATGTACTGTTAACTACTAGAAGTATTCACAGTAGAAAGATAAAATGTAGAAGTCAAATGTATAATAGTATTCAAGCTGAGTTGTGAATAGTATTCATAAACTTCAGTCTATATAGTTGTGTGTAGTCAAGAGCTGCTATGTAAGAATAAGTACTCGCAGGCGATTATTCGGGTGTTTGCAGCTTGGCATGATATGTACTGTTAACTACTAGAAGTATTCACAGTAGAAAGATAAAATATAGAGATTAAATGTATAATAGTATTTAAGCTGAGTTATGAATAGTATTCATGAACTTCAGTCTATATAGTTATGTATAGTCAAGAGCTGCTAGCTCTATTGATTATATGAGAGATAGAAATAGAAATAAAGAATCTGTGAGAAGTGTAATTTCTTATATATCTCTCTCTCTCTAAGACTTTATCTGTGAAGCCTTTCACTGAGTAACTTCATAGAATCAGCTCAACACTGTAGTGATATTCACTAAAAACTCTTCATATCTATAAAAAATCTCAGTGAGGAAAAATCCCTTATTATTATAAAGAAAAAAGAGTCTGTCACTCAGTTTCTTATTCTGTGAGATTCTTTGTGATTTACAGATTCTTCTCTGACTATTACACAGATTCATCTCACATCTTTCATATAGAAGAATTCTGATTGACTCTTAATTATTTTCATGAGATTCTTATATAATCATTATACAGATTCATCTTACAGATGAATCACTCTCTATGAGATTATTCTCATTAAAGAGAAGTATTTATATGTTAATCTTTCACTCATTCTTATAAATCATTATTCTTTGACACTGTAGAATTGTGAGGAATTTTTTATTCTTTCATTAACTCTGTAGAATTGTAGAATCAAGATATCTGCAGTCTGTAATCACTCTTTGTAATTATATAGAAAGATTCAGATCTGTGATTCATAATCACTCTTATTTACTAGAATGATCTGACTATTTCACAGAATTACTCACAGTGTAAGTAAATCTTTCTAGAGTAGTATAAATATTTCAGATCTGTTTATAAAATCTTATCTTCTTTTCTCTTTTTCTGTAACAGCTCTTATTCTTATAAACTGTGAGTATTTCTATTCATCTGTGAAGTGTTTTCACTCAGATAATAGAGAGAGAGTGTTTTTAATAATATTCATATATTGATTCAAGAACTTTTCAAGAATAAAAATTTTTCAATTTTAATATCTTTGTAACAATGTCTGACTGTCACTGAGCTTCTCATGAGTATTTTCATAACTTCTCTGATTACTTTTTATCAGCTGATGAAGTAGAGACACTGCTACTCATGATTATATCTTCACTTCTCTCAGCTCTATCACTGCATCTGATCTTCAGATCAGTGATTCATTTCATATCTTCTTCAGATCAGTTTCTGGCTTCAAGCAGTGTAGTTCTCTTCTTTACTGTAAGTCTTCTCATAAGTAATTTCTTATAGATTCTAGCTGACAGTTCTTATAAAGCTCTCAGTGTTGTCAGTGTCTTCTGCAGCTTTATAAGCTTATAATCATCTTCTCTCTACTCACACAATCTCTGATCAGATATATGTAAATATGTCTAGATTCTCTATCAATGATTCTCATGCTGCAGCACATTTTCACAATCTCATTGTCAATGAGAGATAAGTTCTCAGATATCTGTAAAATTCAGATAATCAAGATAATACAAATATCATGAATTTGCAATGAGAGTTAATCTGAGCAGATAAGCTCTCTCTTCATATCTTAATTATTTCTGAGCTGAATACTTCAGCATAACTGAGAGAGTAAACACAGCTTTATAAGAGATATCTGATCACATACATAGACAGCCAGCTCTCAAGATTCTGTCACAACTATATACACTCTGATGTTCAGCTTCTCTGAAGTCTGTGCATTTCTGACAATCTTTACATCAAATATAACAATTATCTGTACTATAGATATAATACTCTCTGCTTCTTTAAAGAAGAAAATTGATAGTTGTGAGAAGATTGAGTGTTACAGATAATAAGAATGTGAGTTTAAGTTTTCTTTATTTTTTCTTTATTAATCTTCAAATTATATTCATAGCTCTGTTTGTTTTCTTATTTTTTAGTTTTAATAAGAATATGATTTCTTCTTCTCTTACATACACTGCAGACTGTTCATCTCAGTAGAAACTCATTATCTTATACATCATCATCATCATTACAACCGCTCCACCACGAACTCGCTCGATTTTTCGAATAAGAACCCGCCGATAGATCCATCAAAAAGCCCTCAATCATATGAGCATTTTGACCCCATCGCCGACCGCATACCCCGTGTGGTGGTGGAGTTATCCAGCCAAATGTGAACCAGACATCGTTCGGAACTCCTGCGTGGGATTATCCCCCATTCTCCCCTACCACACCACAACCCCGGGCCAAATTGCCATACAAATTGTAAGGTGAAGAGACCTAGCCATATGCACCAATCTTCTCAATTTTGGAAGATCCCCGATCTGTAGTTGTGGAGATATCTGAGGAGCGACCTCCGCGAAAACCCTGTTCATCTTTGATGTTCCAAAACACCAACACCAAGTCCCACCCTCGTACCGCCCTTCCCAATCTGGCCCATCCCCGGCAGAAAAATACAAAAAGATACCTCAGCGATAATATCAAGCATATAATCAACAGCCACTTCTGAAGTGCAACCTCCGTGGTCTGTCTTCAGTGTATCGTATCTAGACATCAACGCCAAGTCTCACCCTTGTACCACCCCTCTCAACCTGGCCCATCCCCGACAGAAAAGTACAAAAAGATACCTCAGCAACTGTACTTAATACTGTCAGGTCACGTGATCTGGCTTACTAATCCCTCCACCATATAACTTTCCACAAAGCTAGCAACCTTTCAATCACACAAGCTTTACACCTTTCACAGGTTATGAGACCTGTTTTGTGCAAAATCACTGCCAATTTGAGATTCCTTGTCAATATATTCACTATTTGAACTACTGCTTCATTTGATACACTCATCAGGAGTTAAAATTGTCTTATTCTATCAGTATTGATGTGTTTGAGATCTTGATGATCAATAATACTACTGCTCACTTAAAAAAGAGGCTTGCAGAAAATGCATCACATTTGTAAAAAAGCAAGAAAAAGAGAATGATATTGACAAGGATTCAATAAATGAATATTAAGATGATGAATTCAATACAATCACACCCACACACATGTTCACAATCTTGTGTCCTTTTCACTGAATCAGTTGCAGTTGATGATGATGATTCTTCATACTCACACTCTGTCAGTGAACATTCTCCTGAAGTCTTTGAAAGCTTCATTGTCAAAACACTGTCTCAATTCAAAGCTGGTTTGAATACAGCTTCTGACATGGTCAGGCCAGCCCTCTAATCTACTCAGCAGCTTGATGAAGCTGGTTCTCTTGATGAGAATATTGAACACTCAGATGTCTACTGTTCAGATGAGGCAAAATCAGATCAACAGATGAAGCATCTCAAGATGATACTTGAGATGAACAAGAAGAAGCAAAGAGTTCTAGAACTTGAACTACAACTGGAAAAACTCTGTCAACAGAGATTCTCATCCTTCACAGATCAAACACAGAATGTCAACAATCATTCTATCATCACATCAACAGCCTGTACAGCCACATGGAATTCTAATCTCAGTGAAAGATTGGAATTCAATCTTTATAAATCAGATAGCTGTGTTGACAAGACAATCTCTCAATTCAAGAAAGATGTCAAGAATACTGTGAGATTAAACAGTCTGACTGATACATTCAATTACATCACATGAAGCATCTTCATGAAATTGAAACTGGTTGATGCACAGTGTTGATATATGATAGAGAAACAACAGACTCAGAACCCTCTACAAAGAGATGATGAATGAGCATCATTCTGAGATGCCAGAAACTGGTGGCTCTACATATTTATCTTGAACTCCTTGGGTGCAGGTGTCAGATCACATTTCTTCAAGTATGATGAAAATCAGATCACTTATACTCTATGAAATGTGATTGAATAGGAATACTCTGTCCTCAAAACACAGTTACACTGTGAGGCAGTTCTGAAATTCATGTCTCTTGATGACACACAGATCATCAATCTACACACATTCTTTGATAAGTTCCAGTCTGCCATCACAAAATTGAAGATGTTGAATGCTTCCTCTTCAGATGCATGAATATTTGATATCTTCTACTCAGTTCTACTCAACAATTGAAGGAATTATGTTCAGAAGAAGATAGAGAAGATACAGGATTCCAAATCCACAGCTGTGGTATTGAATGTTGATCTTCTCATGGAGGAAATCTGTTCACAGCTTGATTCTTCAAAAGATAAAAAGAACCTGCAGAATATAGATTCTGTGGCCAACTCAGCTACAACAGCTACAACAGCTACAACAGCTACAACAGCTACAACAGATACAACAACCACTACATCTATCAATTCTAACAACAATACATTGAATTCGGCCTGTGGAGGCTGAACTGAATGTGGTCATGATAGTACTCAAGAGAGCTTCTGAAACTATAAGAGATCAGGAAATCCACCTACATGTTCTGAATGTGAGAGATCTCACTTTGACATCTGTTGATTGATCAATTCAGACAGTGCTTCAGATAATTGAAGAATCTACAACACTGCAAGGATAAAGGAATTCAAAGAAAAGAAGAAAAAGAATAGTGAGAGTAAAACTCAATTATTTATTACAGATGAATCAGAGATCTATCAGATGACAAACCTTGTAGAGGTTATCAATGTATCAGCCTGTTTTATGAAATCTCACAAGGATCCCTTCAACAGGTGTTTATACATATCAAAAGACATCATCTTTCAGAAGAACCTTTATTTTGCTGATTCATTGATGCTGACTACTTCACACAACCTGAAGGTTCTACTCAATGCGGCCTGTAAGGCGGCTGCAGTGATTCCTTCGGCGACACTAGGCCTACTGACTGCAGCCTGTAAAGAGACTGCAGTGATTCCTGATTCATCAATTGATAATCTATTCATTGATGAGGAAATTTGACCTGAGTGTTCATTATTTCTCATATTCACTAATAATTGATGGATTGACTATGATATCTCTGTGAGAATATCTACTCTTTTAGTGCAGAATACACTGAACTCCCTGAAACTCATAGTTGAATCTGATGACTCTCTGACATCTACAAGAGATATCACTATAGTGAGGGAATCAACAGTGAGGAAATCTTCAGTGAAGAACAGTCTTGAAGATCTACTCACTGATCCTGAGATCACTGCACTTCTGATCCTGAAAAATCTCACGCGCGCCAAAGCTTTCATGAAATGAAAGTATTATTACAAGGCCTGTGTTAAAGAGATCAACTGTTTGAAATATACACATTGAAAAGAGAATATATAAAGAAGATAGAGAGATAGAGGGATAAAAAATGATGTATATCATGACTGATTTTTCATTACTTCACATTTTTCAGTCATTTTTTGTATCTGTACTTGATTTGAAGGTGAATTTTGTATATAGCATTGTGTATAGTTACTCTGATGAGTGGGGGTGTCAGGTCATGTGATCTGGCTTACTAATCCCTCCACCATATAACTTTCCACAAAGCTAGCAACCTTTCAATCACACAAGCTTTACACCTTCCACAAATACATAATTGACAGATACAACAACTATAAAATCAGTATATCTCAAGATCTGACTGAGCCTTTGATCCCTGCACAGTGAGATATATTAAATCTAGTTTTAATACCTCAATATTCAATAGATTCTGCAAGAGATTGAGAACAGCAACACTAGGTTTCTATTGAATTTAAGAATTAACTCTATATTAATATAATCATTGACAAAGTCTTCTATTTTGAGATATAAATAATCAGTTTCTCTACATCCCGCTGACAATATTTACATTATTATATAAAAACAGACTTATATTCTCTATAATATCAAGACTCTGAAGAGGGAAAGTCTTGATAGAGAGTATACAGTAGTGCATATCTTAGCAGTTTCTATCTCATTCTTCTGCAGTAGTTAATACAATAAAAAAAAAGATTTTAAAAATAGTTTTTTACTTCTCTTGAAAAAGTAAGATGTTTTTCTCTGAGTTTTACATAATATTCTTACAAAGAATTAAAAACAGAGTTGTTTTCTGTCATAATTTCATATTCTTTTAAGTAAGAATTACTTTTTCAGTGACTGAAGAGCTTTCATTAATACTTAATTCTCTTTTACACTCTTTATTGACTGATTTGAGTTACACACTTGTTATGTGAGAAGAATTGAATGATTTAGAATAAAATTGAATAGTTTTAATCAATTTCTCTGCAAAAAATTGACTTATTTTTTGTCAGTTTTTCTCTCAAAAACTGTTATATCATCTGATTTATTATCAATTGATATCATACTTTTCCTCACTGTATCCCAAGAAAGAGTTTGTAAAGATTTTATTGATTTATCTTAAAAATCACTTTTAGTTTATTAGATTCTCTTCAAAAATCTAACCTAGTTACTGAACTAGTGTGAAAAAAATCAGATGTTTTATACACAAAAGTCTTTCATTCTTCTTTTGAAACAGTCTGATCAACTTTTCAATTGAAAATAGACTAATAAATCTCTCAACTGAAACAGTCTGATCAACTTTTCATTTGAAAATAGATTAATAAACCTCTCAATTGAAACAGTCTGATCAACTTTTCATTTGAAAATATACTGATAAATCTCTCAATTGAAACAGTCAGACCAACTTTTCATTCAGTGAGTAAAATGAGTTCAAGAGTACACTCAGTTGATGTGGAAAAAGATGTTTTCCCAGATGCCATTCCTGAAATTGAAATTCTAAAGAGAAGAAAGAAGGAAGAAATAGAGAAACAACAAGTTCTTGAAATACAGGAACTGGAAAAAGCAAGCAAAATTCTTGGAAAACAGTGTCTGAGTGAGGAGAATGAAGAAGTTCTGTTAATTCTTCATACTCAGGCTAGACAACTACAAGAAGTGATCAAGTTCAAACTTGGAATTTCAAACACAATTCAAAAAACATTGAAATCTTCCAGTACAGTCACTGACTCTTTTTCATCTTCTACTTCTTCATCTTTGTGATTCAAAGGTTGCTTAAGCCAGCGTATGATTACAGGCGTACGCCGGCTTCTTATATATTGAATCTCGTATGCTAAATTAATTAGTGACTGCTATGGCCTCTCTTTACATTCATACACTAGTAGTTCAGAAGCGGCTGTGTTATTATCTGACAGTTGTACATTCTTCTGAATCACATTCTCCCTCATCAGATTCAGTCATGCTCATGTGACCATGTTGTACACCCTAGCTTCATGCAGATTAGCTTGTCACTAGCATTTCACAATTGTATAATCTATCTCTGATTCAGCTAGCATCTCACATACACTCTCACAAAGAAACTTTCACTATATTATATCACTCATTCATTAACTTTTCTTATTCTTCAACTATCATCTTCATCATTGTCATCATTGAATATCATCACTATTCAAGATTTCTATCTCTTCTTCTGCTCAACTCTTTTCATCTGTTCATCTATCACATTATACATATTCCTGGTGATGGCCTCTCATTCTCACAACAAGCATTCTCATAGTGCTCATACCAGGCAGTTTGTTAGCAGTAAGTGTAACATGTTGTGAAATATGATCAGGACTTGTTTATCTTCTAACAATTATCAGAATATACTATCATGAATAGCATATCTTCTTCATCTTCTCATACACTCTTGACTGTTTCCTTCTCAGCGGGTTTCTGATTGTGTTTTCTGACACAATTTTGCATGAACACAGATGCTGATATGTTGTTTTTATTTGTGTAGAATCTTCACATGTTGACAGATTCATGTCTGCTGATGATAGTGAACTCAGTGTTGAATCATTGATCAAGAACTTGAAGAATGTGATAATGAAGAAATTGTTCATGTCATGTGTGATCAGGTCTTTCACATCTCTCTCTACTTCTTCTGCTGCTTCTTTCCCTGCTGCTTTCTCTCAATCTTCTACACTTGTTCCTGTGTCTGATTCTCCTGCTCCTGCTACTTCTGATTTTGCTGTCTCTGCCTTTGTTACTAGCTTTCCTCATTTCAAGAAGATGTTGTGTAGGCTCAGTGAATCACATTTCTCAGCACATATGCTCTCACTCTTCTTATCAATCTCTAGAATGATTTATTGTATAAAGACTGTGTATAACACAACTATCTGAAGCTCAGTCACAGACATCAATTATTATATTCATTTTAAATACTTATGATGAGATAATTGTTCATTTATATCAGAGAATCATCTTCTCTCTTAATAGTGTTGAGATTGTAAGTCTTTTTCTTTTTCATCTTTTCTTTCTGATGATGATTTTTCTGTTCTTAGAGAAAATTATTATGAGTTTTACTGTGTATGAAGTTATAGTATTCACAGATACTAAGAAGCTTTTTATAACTATAAAGTTCAATATTATAGAAATATTTACTCTGATGAATTTCTTCAGAATAATAGATCTGTATCAGTCTATTCTCTAATATCTGTTGTCTGACTTTGTAATGCAGGCAAAAGATATCTGTGTTTTCAGAAACAGAAACACAGATGTTGTACTCTTTTATATCTATGAGTGTGAGACTTGTATATCTTGTCTGAGATGTTGTTATGAGAATGAGCTGTTCACACACTGTGTTCTGCTTTCTGTATTTCTCTGTGTCTCTCTCTCTCTTCCTGAGAAGCCTCATGCATGTTGTAATTATGTGTACAACTCTAAGATCAGTGAGTGTTCATTTGATAACTGTTCTCACCTCTGATTTTGCAGTTTCATATGCTAACAATAGTTCTTAGTTACTCCAGCATCAGAGGCTATTTTAATTGAAGATAATAACACTGCTGTGACTACTTTCTTCTGTTTTGAAGCTTTTCTCATCACTTTCTCTCTCTCTTCTGCAGAGAAGGTTGTGCATATATCAGATTGTAAGTGTTCAGTTCTGAGTGACTTCTATTATTCATTCAGTTCTGCATCTCTCTTTTTCATTTCTTCTGCCTCTGTTCTTCCTGCCCTGGCTTCTGGTTCTGCAGGTCTTATGCTCTTCTTCAATTTCTCTACATATATATGTACACATTTCTATATTGACATTTCAGCCAATCTTGTAATAAATGACATTAATGTTGTATACAGAGTGATAGAGGAATTGAAGACATGCACAGCATTGTTGTGAGAGCAGCTTGTGACTCTTGAATTTCTTACAGATCTTGAGTTTTGAGATTTCCTTTGTTTTTGACATTTTTCAGATGATGTGTAAGAAATCCCGCTTCTTGCGGATTCTTTACCTCTATTCCTATCTCTCATGTAATCAATAGGGCTAGCAGCCCTTGGCTACACACAACTATATAGACTGGAGTTCGCGAATACTATTCATAACTCAGCTTGAATGCTATTATACATTTGATCTCTACATTTTATCTTTCTACTGTGAATACTTCTAGTAGTTAACAGTACATATCATGTCAAGCTGCAAACACCTGAATAATCATCTATGAGCACTTATTCTTACATTTCATGCTCAGTCAGTCAGCAACTGTCTGTTATGACTGAAAGAACTAGAAACTCACATGCTTTAATCTCTGTAAACTCTACTACAGATACTCAGAAGCAGTCATCTGAATCATGAATAACTCTCATAAAAGAAGTTTCAGAGAACTTATCAATCACTCACAGAACATCATTCTCTACATCTGTGACAGAGAAATCCTTCAAACTCATGAATAAACCAATCTCAGTGAAGAACATTCTTGAGCATCTTTCACAGAATTAAGCTATTTTTCTACAAGAAATGCTTACTGTCTGCAAACACTCTTAAACTGAGTTTCTAAACATGATCTTCAGAGACACCTGTAAACTGAAAAGAAACTTTCTTAAGCTGTGATCACTTAAGATTACTTATCAAATCACAATCTATAAAAGCTTTTACAAGTTTGTATTTGAAATTGACTTACAAGCTCAGCTGTGTGACATGAAAGATGAAGAAGCTGTCATCTACATGATGACAGGCCTCTATTACATTAAAGTCAAGAACTGGCTGAATTATCTAGAGAATGATTATGAGAGATTCTGATGATCTGTTCTCAAGACCTATCTAGAGAATAAGTTAAGAAACTTCATGAGCTGAACAGAGAATATCTGAACTGCAATCACTAATATTAGAAAAAGAGGTGAGAAATCTGATAAAGACTACTCACAGTGCTTTATGAAATTGTGATACAAATTGAGATCTGTGAAAACAGGGCTCTGAAACAAGACCTGAATAATGATATTTATAAAGAAACTGAATAAAGACA